CTACATGTGATTTTTTTTTATTGTGTTTTTTTCAAACTCTCTTTTAGATTTTCTTGCATATTTTTGCAAATTTAAAAAAGAATTGAAAAATATTGTGAAGACTTCCATTATATAAGAATTTGGAACAAGATATTATAAATTAATGTAATTTCCGAAATTTTTGGAATCTCGCCGATTCCGATGCGTTCTGAAATCGGAATAAATTTTTGCATGTCGGTTTTTTTGGAACAGAAATTGGAACCTATTTTTTATTTCTGAATAAATTTAAAAAAATTCCGAAAAGACCATTTTCGATTAATTCCGCCTGATTGCCACCCCTAAGTATGGGAAATCTTATTTCATGTATAATTAACATCATTAAACATCATTTCAATAAAACGTTTTAATAACTTCTAAAATCATCAGACATATGACGACCAAAAAGTTATCATCGTACATATGTCTCATAAAATAAAATAAAGGAAAAGTAAAATATGCAATGGGGTTAGGGGTAGAAATCAGAATGAGATTTTGGAATTCCGTCGATTCCGATCCGAAATTATCCGAATTTAGAGCCATATTTTCATTCCGATTTCCGATTTTCCAATTCTTTTTTGGCACGGGATTGGAATTGTATATAAAGTTATCGAAAATTTCAATTTTCGATCCGATTTTAGTTATCAATATTTTGATTGTTTTTCGAAACATATAATATTATAATTTTATGATATATTGTCATAATTTCATAATTTAATGTATGTTAATTTTATATGAAATATATAAATATTGTCCACATAAATTAAAAACCACAAAAAAAAATAATTGGCAGCAGAACTATCTGTTGCATTTTATCTTATATCAGAAACTTTGTCTATTGTTTTTTTCTACATTTTGTTTTATTTATTGCAATTTGTTGAATTATTTTTTTGGAAATTCATGTATTTCTCTATAAAATTCCGAAAAACAGTGAAAACGTTGAGAAAATTCTCATTATATCTGAATTTGGATCAAGAGATTATACACCAAATGCAATTCTGAAATTTCTGAAATTCTGGTGATTCCGAGGCATTTCGAAATCAGAATGTATTTTTAAATTCCGATTTGTTGGAACGGGGTTTGGAACCCATTTTTAACTTCTGAAAAAATGGAAATTTTCCGAAAAAGTCAATTCCGATCCGTTTTATTTTATTTTCACCCCTAAATGTGGTTCACACTTCACATTTCAATAATTTGGATAACAGTTTAATTACAATATTGATGTTCCATGTAATTTAACTCTGATACTTTCCATATACGTTAATTATCTAATTTTTTTTAATGTACAAACAATAATGTTCAAGATAACTTCAAATTATGGACTTGTTTTTTTGGAAGGTTCTTGACCAACAAAAAAATTATTTACGGTAACGAAATCTATATTTTAAATATTATTCATCAACATTATAATGGGTTTATGTTAGGTAAAGAAATTAAAATCATCAACGCACATAATTATCAAACAATAACCTTTAAACATGAAAATAGATTTTTTAACCGTTAAAAATTTATGATTTATCCGCTTGTTGAGTACGCTAATTATGTGAGAGGTTCTTGAAAGGTCGGTACTCAATTTTTTTATTTGACTAAAAATTTATATGTTAAAAGAGAGAGAGAACAAAACTTAGAGAGCTCACTTGAGCTCCAATTTCAGGATCTAATTTTCTTAGAAAGTGAACTCTCATCTTGGGAGCACACTTAACAAATGAGATCTAATAGTTTTAAATAATCAACCAACAACGGCAAGTCATGCGGCCAGCTAACAAAGCGCGTTGAAGACTTTATATTGCATTTAGTAACTCTCTGTTATACCGAATTCGGAAAATCTTTTGTTATTAAAATTATAAGAAATCAAAATTCTTCTTATGCATTTTCTAGCACACAACCTCATTAATAGTATATTTTAAGGGATAGATTGCTTCTAAAATTAAATTACGGAGGTTTTCGATAATATTTATAACACGGGGATTTTTTTACAATTAGAGTAAACATATGGGATAAATGTAATAAACCTCAAACAATATAAGATATAAGTTAAATATTCAACATAGATATCATTTATGAAAGTATCATCGATCTTATCATATGTTTTTCATGAAAAGATGTTACGAAGACATACTAAATCAAATGTAGTTTTATTTTACGGGTTATAAAAGTTTCATGTAATTTCTTTATTATTAATGATGTTTGTTGGGTGCTAAATACCCACACGCAAGTGCACGTATCGCGAACAAGTAGTAAAGTAGACTCGTGAGAGTCGGATGTCGATCCCACAGGGAATACTCAAATTATCTAATCCTAAGTACCAAATTCTAACAATTATGATTTTTATCCAGCCTACGCAAGTTTGTCAAATAAAATCAATCAAACAATTAAACTAATTAAGAACGCAAATAAACACGAGAAAATATCAATAAAAACGGACCTAGGATTTTATTTTCCCCCTATGCAAGAATTGCTCACCCAAAACCCCTCAATTATGAAATATATGATTTATGATTATTAACCCGAGACACTAATTTACTCATAACCCGCTGTCGCGTGTATTATGAGTCTATTATTCATAAACGGTTCACTATATGTCTATGCAAACAAATTATGAATAAAGCATTAACTAACAAGTCTCGTAAATGGCTACCTAAGGTGATATCTGTATGTCTACGACACCACATGCAATTGACACACTCATCCGGTGAAAACTACTCGAAGGCTCTTCTACTTACCGTCTAATTATCAAAATAGCTCTGTCGAGTCAATCCCAATAATCACAGATAAAGCACATAAATTGATCAAGTTCATGCACTAACAATCATAACAAGTAGAAGAAATAATCATAAAATCATAATTGCATAATCTCAAGAAAAAGGGTTCACAATCCCTATATAGGGTTCCAACAAAATCCTAGATTAAAAACTTAGCTACTCATGTTCGTAACGAAAAGCATAATAAAAATACGAAAAATCATAAAAACTAATAAAAGAGGAGAACGATAATGAAGAGTCGTCAATTCTTCGTCTTCGTTCTTGAGCTCCTTGATTGCGTGTAGAAAGATGAAAAATAAAAACCTAAAGATTAACGATAAAAAGGTAAAAGATAGATCTAATTGTGTGCTCTTGGCCTTTAAATAGGGTGCAAAAATATAATAGGGCGGGTTTCCTTGTGTAATTAAAATTCCTTCACTGCGCCTTCACGTCCATCCGGACGGCCGTGCGAGATTATGCTTTAAAATCCGCACGGCCGCGCGGGCTTTAATTCTGCAGGAAATCTGATTTTTTCACTTTTGGCCCACTTTTTCTCTGAATTTGCAGTTTCCACCCCAAAAGTTGTCAATTCTCCAATTTGCACCTAAAATACAAATAATAGCCATTTTAAGCACCAATTATCATTAAAACACACCAAAAGCTCCAATTAAAAGGTATAATTAAGTGTATAAATATACACTTAACAATGTTTATTTATTACACATTTCGATAAAAGAAAAGCTATAAATCTATATCAATTAAAACAATAATAGATAAAAACATTCTAGAGGTTTGAGATGTAATCATGAAACTAAATCAAAACACTAAAAATATTCTACGGATTATTATAATAAATTATTTTCTAATGGTTCATAGATCCTAGTCGAATTTGAATTCTCTAATAAATGAAATACAAAGTTCTCAACCTTTTATATTTTTTCTATGTGTTAAACAAAAGAACGAAAAAACCAAAAAGCAAAAAAAAAAAAAAAAAAAAAAGAAAAAAAAAAAGAGAGAGAGAGAGAGAGAGAGAGCAGTAAGGTGTGTCAATATATATGTTTGATAT